GGATCAAATTGAATTGCTACATATCATTGCAGAACAGTGTATAGAACGTCAGTCAACTCTCTACGTCGACTTTGAAAAGGCCTTTGACAGCGTCGACCGAGAAGTAATTTGACAGGCAGTTGCTTCAACACTATGGTTTTAGTGCCACAAACCTTTATCAACCTCATTCAACAACTAACTATGTGCTATATGATGCTGCATGTCAAGCGATTCACAATGGGAAGTTCAGTGACGCCTTTGAAGTGAAGACAGGAGTAAGACAAGGCTGATGCCTACAATCACCGATGATCTCCCTGATTGTGGTGGACTGGATTGTGCAATGAACTGTGAGAAGGGAGGAGCAGGGCATACGCTGGCTGGACCGATGAAGAGATCGTAGAGGATTTGTATTTCGCCGATGATGATTTATGTTTAATGTCTAGTCGCACAAACTCGAATATCTACTGGAAAAACAACAAGTTGACAGAAGAGGCAACGAGGATGGAATTTCAAGTGGATGCAGAGAAGACAGAGGTGATGAAGATACCCAACCAACATCAACAACAATAACAACAACAACAAGCAGGATCAACGGGAGAAACCTAAGGGAAGTTGTCTTTTTCGCCTACCTTCCTAGGCACCATCGTTCCAACTACAGACAGCTGCGGCACAGATGAGGATGTCAAAGCCAGGATCGGAAAAGCAAGTAAGACAGGCCTTCATCGATCTGAAATCAGTGTGGAGATCGACTGCCCTGCACGCAGTTTTAAGCGTGAACAAGATTCGGATTTTCAACACTAATTCAGACAAGTCAGTGCTTCTATGTGGTTGAGAGACTTGTTGCGTTACGAAAAGCATTTCCAACAAACTACAGACATTCATCAACAGCTGCCGCTTACGCTCACTCGATACTGAATATCGATGAGATGGCCAGAATAACACGAATAAGCAACAAGGAACTCTGGCTGGCTGGCTGGCTGCAACGAACTAACCAAAAACCTCTTGCCAAACAAATACGCAGGAGAAAGTGGAGATGGATGGGATTCGATGTACACTGGGAAGACCGTTTGGGCACATCACGAGCCAGGTCGACATCTCTAGTGGAACCGGAATGGGAAACGACGAGTTGGGTGTCCCAGCTGAGAGTAACATGGAGGAGATGGTGTGAGGAAGAAATGAAAGCTTATGGGTAGTCGTGGAGCCAGGTTGGGGAGACTTGAGAGAGCAGAGTGGAATGGAGACGTGCTACTGAAGCCCTATATTCCACTAGGAACCCAAGGGACAAATGATAATAAACTTTTTATGGCTGCTTTGTATACCGTCAAGATTTCAGTTCATTGGTATTATTAGGTAGGTGGGTGATATAAACCAGAATGCCAGTAGATGATCTGGAACTAATTTCCTCAGCTATCACAGTTGTAGCAGTTTCGTTGATAGTGAAGCAGCTTGTCGGATGATAAGACCATACGCAGTGTCAATTCAGATTCTTTGCAAATGTGCTTTTGAAGTTTTAGGCATACTTGGTCGTGTCGTTGAAGAATGTCATTAAGTTCGCTACCCGTTTCTTGTAATGACTCGCGTACGATGAATCATACTGGGTACTGATTTCTTGAGAAGTAGATGCAGTCATTGGCATGAAACATGAAACGATGACTACAAATTTCGGGCCATTTCCCACACATGAATATACGAAAGTGGCAGGAGCATAAGTAACAGAAACACGTCATAAATAAGTCGTTTTCATCACTGGGTCGACTAATGAGTCCGAGAGTTTATTCATCAAGATGGAGAACTACATGTGTGTTGCCACATGAAATACCGTCATAAAATCGTGGAAGGTTAGAATTTTCAATCCTTTTTCCTTTTCACCCATGAGAAAAAGTAAAGCAGTAGGTTCCGAAGATTTCAAAGGATGGTATAATGGAAGAAGTCAACAGTCTCTACAGTTCACCTCCGCTGCTAGGGAAGTAGCGGAATGGGAAATACAGGTTCTGAGTCGGTCTTGGAGAGCTAAACAAAATTACTTACTTGAAACCGTTTATGAAGCCAGCGATGAACGAGTCACTAGATCACTCACAGAAAGCCACACTACACAGTACTAACTTAGCATCAGGTTACTAGCGATTGCGATCGAAATTGGCAAAGAAAAACAACTTTCGCTTTGAGGTGGAAACGATGCCCATTTAATTGGATGCCGTTCTGTTTCGCTACAGCAGCTTTTACGCTCAGATGACTCATGATATGATTTTTGCGAAGATGAAGAACGTGAAAATAATCGATGACCACCTCGCGGTGCATAGTATATCTAAAGAAGACCATCTGAAAAACCAATATGGCGTTCTAAAACGCACTGGAGAGTTTAGACTACGTATTAACAAGATGAGTTTCCAGATTGCTAATATGAGTATGTTTCGTGTCCATTTCGCACCTGTTTATCATGAGATAATACTTCAGGACTGAAACCTCGCCTGGTTAACTAGTTCACTAGATACTAGCCGGTCATAGCCGGGATAAAGAGGAAAGAGTGGGCATAGGGCTACCAACCCTACCCCGTAAAACCAATCCCACCACTACAGAACCTTCAAAGTACAGAAAAATTACAAAAAATAAAAGCAAAATTATTCCTCGCTGAAATCGGAGAGACGAGATGACGCCAGTTGGTGAAAGCCTTCGAGAAGCCAATTGACCAATGTGTCTCGGCAACGAACCAACCAAGAACCTATTACTCAACAAATGTGAATATGTGTTTGAGTCTCACAGAGTGCACACATTATTGCAAACCAACTCTACTTGCAATTATGCCTTTATCTGAAAGTCCATTTGAAACGATGCCATGCATGTTATCAATAATAATCATCCACGTTGTATAATAGAGATGTTGGATAATCTCTGTGAACCGGTCTAGAAACTTCCAACAATAACATTTTAGACTTACTTTTGTCTTATTTATTTAAATAATCATGCCTGCTAATATTCATTTGTCTAGATGGCAGTTAAGTCGTGTATTTAAAATTGAAAAGTATTCAAACAGGGACTTCACTAGTTGTTTCATTCTAACTTTTTCCATCTTTTAAAATCTAGCACTTCCAAGCAAGACATCTGACTGTGAGATATATCACCAGCACTATATTCGATGATATTATCGCTGGCCTTGGGCGGAAATAGACTGCATCTTTGTGGTATAGCTCCAGTAAGCTGTGACAACTTTCACTCGGATGACAGAGAAAGTGCGATGCATGATGATCAGTAACCGTTATGAACTTAGACTCATACAACTATTTTCGCAGTTTGGTTACCGCTAAAAATGCAAGTAAAACCTTTTTCTGTGTTACAAAATACTCTCACTCGGTTCAAAAAGTCTTCTTGAAATATGAATTTTACGGTGGTTATTTTGCACCGATGCCCACGGAAGAAACATCTATAACTAGTGCTAACCTTTTTCTAGATAAAATTGTTTTACTTAGGGTTTTTGGAGGGTTCTGTTCAGTAGTTTCCGTATAGGTTTATCAAGACGTTCATACTGACTGAACTGCTGTCCAAAATAAGCATTCCACCAGAGTGATATCAATATCATGTCGCAGTCAGAAATTTTGGCGATCCTTCTTGTATAGAGTTTCAGAAGTAACTTCAGTAAGTTAGATTTACAACATTGTTTACACCTATCAATGACAAAGCATCTGTGTAACAAAAATTTGCTTCTTTCCTTGTCAGTTAGAAGCACTAACTGTCGAAAAGCTTCAAACCAAAGATCTGCTTTCTCAGATCATTTTGGCCAAACCAACTAACGTTTGTTTTATGACGTCTATCAACTTATTTGCCTCAGTCATATATTCTTTTCATAACAGCTGTGTAGCTTCAAATCATAGAATAAAGTTCAACTGTGAGGTTTGTGGGGATCTATTCATTCATTTCAGGTAATATTCATCATGGAATGACGTAAATTGGATGAACACTGGATATCTGGGAGCGCTGAACCGCTGTTTCGTCCTAGTATGAGACCGCTCGGCAGTGTGAACCCACGTCCACCCAAGCATCAAATTGAATTAACCTAGTCCTCATTAGTGACTAACTTCGAGAGGTGATTCCTGGAACTCCAATGAGAAGTCGTGACCAATGGAGCCAACCAAGTCCAATGTGATGACAGTCATTCATTGACGGCAGTGGATGGAGATTGCGCTATATCGTGAGCTGACAGAGGTAGGAAATATAGATTATTGGATTCTGAACCAGTGGCACAAAGGTAACGCGCTGACCACAGAACCTGGAGGTCCGATCTTTGGCGAGGACATGGGCATGCTCTGCTGAGAAGACAGAAAAGCTGTCCAGTGCTCCTAGGTTTCCAATATTTCTCCAACTGATATTAGTCCATCATGAATAACAGCCTGAAATCTATAGGATAAAAAGGCATACTACTTTTGAGTAGCATAATGCCACGTACTAAAAATCCCGCCCAACATTGTAGTCAACACCAAGTCCCTACATTATTGGTACTACTTTTTGTCCGTGGGAACTGTAATTACATAGAATAAAGATGGAGAACAATATCAAATCATATCTTCTCCAACCTGAATATGTTTTATTCATCAAAACAAGAAAATTATGTTATCAAATTCTTCTCTTCAGAAAGAAAGGTGACAAAACGCGACGAATGAAACCAATAGTAAATTCTTGATGATAAATTTAAATGTATGAAGATGCTCATTCGCATAACAACGTTTATTGGGATTGGAATCTTTGTGACTTTGAAAAATATAACCTTTTTTTAAAAAAGGGAAGATATGTACAACATTTGATAACGAACACAATAATTCAATACAAAATAGCCATTTAGCAGTTTACCAGGTTTCAGATACCTGACTCACAGTGGTATGCACTAAATTTCGTATATGAACAGATGCAACGAACCGCTTCATATGTTCATGGAATTCAGTGTAAATCATTGTGAACTCATTGTATAGCGCTTCTTTGACACTGAAAACAGTGAGATTTTTCAAGACAGTGCAGTTTTCTTTTTCTTACACTTAGTCTATCTCAGAATCCTCAGTCTCATCAATTACTGATTGCTATAAAAATGCAAATAAAATAAATTAGTTAATAGCAGAGATATTCGCTTCATCTGCTTCTTATTCACAGAATCACTTAGACTAGTAACGATAACAATAAAATATGCTTTTACACACTTAGGGATTTTTAATTTGATTTTCTCTCGAAACGTGTCTTTGAACTAACATAAAGCAGACAAAATGAATCTGTACTTTTGGAAACTAAGAGGTAGTAGTCCGGTCGGTAGTAGTATTTGTAGCAGTAGTAGCACTCCCACACATATAAACAGATCGACCTAGCTTTACAGATGTATCACGAGTTATACTGAAAAGCGTTGACTAATTACCAGAAAAACTTATGTAAATGAAGAGTAGCTTCAAACGCCAACAATAACTGAAATGGTCAATTAAGTTTCTGAATTTTATGAAAAACTACCTTTCCAGCTAAATAACTCAGGTATCTAACGTGTGACTTTAAAGGTCAACCTAACAACTGCTGAGATAACTAATCATGTTTCTTTATTTTAAAAATAACTAGATTCCCAGACAAAATACTGAAAGCTGGTTGGCTATTTTAGAAGTAGCTAACATGACCTTCAAAGTCATTAGTTTGTTGTATGTCTTCTCTTCAAAATTGTTCGTACCATACCAAACAACTCCACATGACTTAGATGACTCATCACAAGGGTTGTATTCAGAAAAAAAACACTCTTGGTTAGTTTACCAGCATATGCTATATCTGAAACGGAACCTGGTGCAGATAAGAGGAAAATCGATTCAAAAAGAATTGTGTTGAGCACGTGAGGTATTGAAAATTATTTGTTATCACATTCAATCTTCATTGGTGAATTCAGCTTTGAAACCAAGGTCGATAAACTATTACTTTTACAGAAGAAGAAAATGTTCATTGTACAACTGTTGAAAAATAGCGAAACATTGATTGTAGTTAGGATAATGAGTTGAAAACTTAAATATCCTAAGAAGAAAAACTGATGAAATTATAAAGGCTTTTGATGAAAAAAAAGAAACTTCTGGTTGACAAACAGGCTAATGGCAATGTAAGAATTGTTTAATTGATTGTTTTCAGTATTCGGAAGTAAACGCAGCATGAAGAAATATTCATGAACGTGAATAGAGGAATGTTACCAATGTTCCCCTTACTCCAGTACATTGTTCTTAGAATGTAATTTATGGGGGTAATCTCACTTATAGCAACAGTGAAGACAATTGGAAAAGCAACACCTATAAGATTAAGGACTTGGTCGAGAGACTTCGATTAGCACTGAGGAATTGACAGTTACTGCATTTACTAACCAATTACTACTTCATGTACATGATCTATTTCTAGAGGCGACTGAATGCTTATTGGTGTCGTCTCTGACTTCGTCACTACTTTAAGTGTGTTCGACTACGTGATGCAACGAGTTTCCTAAAGGTTGTTGATACGCTTTCTGATAAGTGACATCGAGCAAAACACAGAGAGGTTCAAGAACCCCATTGATTAAGTCATAATACTTCATACATTCACGTCGCGATATTGTTCACTGACGTTTGTTTTCATAGCCCACGGACAAACATATTATTATTGAGTTACATTTCATGACGCTGAAATGACTAACAAGTAAAGATATGTATTTTCTGTAAGGAAATATGTTAACAAGATGCGAACATTAGTTTGCTCGTGCATATCACAAAGTCAAGAATTAGTTGTTCCAATTGGAGCTATAGCTTATTGGTTTAGGGGGCTGACTTTCCAACACTGGGTCGTGGTTTTGAGCACCATTGTACATGACGAGGTTTGGGAAGACACGTGGTATGACTAGCCCTCACATAGTAGGTGTGGTTCATTGCCTACCACAGGAATGTGAAGAAAAATGTTGAGTGCATTTCATTTATTTTAATTCAGGTGTCTAAATGAAATCTTCATATTTCATTCTAATACCGGTATAAATGAAATAAAAGATGACTATTTGAAAGCACTACTCTATATTCTGAAAGTTTAAGACCGGATGTAATTTCAGTAATGATGTTTATTACAGCAAACAATTATCATATAAGATGTGGAGAATAATACGAGTGTTACTAGATTTACTGAACACACCACCATGTTGTTATGAACAATGAAAAAAAATTGAGACAGGCTTACACAAACAAAACAGATTTTACTGTTGCATTTCTTCATGATTTAAATCTACTTAAATTATAAACTTTTCGGTTCGATACATAATCAATCAAGAGTTTATTTAGGTCGGATGCCCATAGTTATGGCATATGTTAGTTGGATAGAAGCAATCAGCACGAAGCCCAAGACCTAGATTTCATACTTTTTGGGACTCGTCAGCAAGGTGTATCTGCAATCTCTATGGAACTGATGTCCCACCTGAGATTCGAAACCCCGTCATATGCATACACCAAACTACCTCTGCAGTGAAATTTTATGCCAACGGCTTCCATTTAGAATATGTTATTACTTAGTAATAAGATTTAAATCAGATACTTCTCATTCTTGTTTGTTTTCAGTTTCGAAAGAAAAACGCAAGTACTCACTGAATGCATAAAGATCTATGCGACTTGGTCATTCAAGAAATTTTCTGTGATAAATGGCTGTTTGAAAAAACAGTTGAAGCAATAATTAAAAGAAAAACGAAGGATAGTAAATAATTCTATGGAAAGCGAACCTTCAATTACCCACATCATTGACGATAATTATGCATAAGATACAAATGTTCACAGCACGATTTTGTTTTCATAACATGAGACGCAACATAAATTACTTTAAAACACAAAAAGAAAGTATTACTGCTTATAAGTGGTTTTTAAACTCAAACTACGTATCTATATTTACTTAATTCATTTGTTAGTGGATGTCGGTGTACTTTCAGGACTAGTGACTCATCCTATTATGAACATATCAGCTGTATATGCCTGTATCCAAGTTATTGATAGTATTTTTATTACCAACAATTGGAGCCAGAATGTTATTCTCTAATTTACTGAACTACAAAATCCTTTACTGTACAATGAATACCAGTTGCAATTTTAGAAAACCACAATGAAAATGACAAAATTTAGGTGACTGTACATGGATGGTAATATATAAACAGGATAATTGTTTCAGTCTGATAAAAACGACACCAACCAGGCAGGCTACATCTCCATAAACAGCTCAGATCCTTTAATAGGCAGTCGGACATCTCGTTGACACCAAGAATGACAGAAGTTGGCGAATACTAAGGATTCCTTTTGTACGCAAGCTAAGGTTTCATCAACAACCAACTAATTTGATTAACAAAAATCCCCAATTAAGTGAAGTGGTTAGCACACTTCACCACTTCACACTAGGAGTGGAGTTGATGCAGACCAGTCCTGAAGCATCAACTTACATTTGAGAGGTAACAACGCATGGTAGCCAAACATATCCATATTTCCGCTGAAAGTGTCCAAAAGGCTACGTATTTTGTCAGCATCTTCGCCTAACAAGACAATGTCGACTGCTAACCCAAGTTAACCAGATACCCTTTAGTGAGTAAGTCAATCCCTGGGAAGTCAGAGCTACCTAAGATTACGTCCATTAATAAATCTATAGTGAATTTAAACAAGAATGGTGATATTAAGCATTCTTGATGGACATCATTGCTCTTTGCTACTTTAGATAACAACTCTTTATAAATACTAACATAGCTGCGTGATTTCGAGTAGAGAGTTTTATTTGGCGCTACAGACTTGTTCGGTGCTCCTTCAAATTCTGTCACTGCAACAGTACCTCTCAGTCGACAAATTTGAATGCTGCCATTAGGTCAAAAATTCTGACAAGTTGGTGTTGAAAGACTGAAGTATCGCTATAGGCTAGCGGGACTGTTTTTCAAGCTGTTTCTTCGTGCTGTTATACTCAATAAGCCTAAGTGATTGCCAGGTATTGCCTAACGCTGATACGTTCTCCATCTCTCTCACTTTCACCACCCGCCACTGCCTACTACCATAGTGAAGAAAAATGTTCAATTTACGGTTCAGCTTCTTTCGATCTTCATTATGACTAGAGCTAGCTGAAATAAGTCTTCCAGTATCAATCTATCCACATGAAGCTGCGGGAACCCACTGACGAACCTTTGGACACAGGTCACCAACTATCTTTCCCACTGTTTCTACAGCAGATTAAATATCACATCAAGCTTGACGATGAAGAGAATTGCTTTCGTGTTCAGATAGATGCATTGCCATCTCATAAATAAAAAAACACTTGATGCTTTTATCTTTGTATCAAGCACGCAGAGGCTTCACTGTTACCTGTTTTCTGCCATAAGTAGGGCACAGACATATACGTGTCCGTAATAAGGTGCAATCGAAGTACAAGCAGGTACTTGAAAAAGAGTAGCAATCCTGCACTGGTTCTCTCCAACGATAGCTTATGCCAATTTGATCAAACCATGACCATCGTTGGTTTGATGTCAGTGGACACCTGGTGATACAGTGTCTCTTCTTATGCTTGAAGTTAGGAGTGACTACAATCAAGGAAAAATTGTCAGAGAGGATCATTATTGTCAGTTCGTTGGCATTATTATTATTTTATGCTATTACTTGTGCCTTGGGTTCCTAGTGGAACAAACAGCTTCTGTAGCACATCTCCATTCCACTCTCTTCTCTGAAATCTTTTCAACCTGGCTCCACGACTGCCCACAAGCTCTCACTTCTTCCTCACACCATCTCCTCCATGTCACCTTCGGATGCCAGACTAGCCGTTTCCCATCTGGGTTTCACCCGACAGCCTGGCGCGTGGTATCCCCAAATGGTCTTCTCAGTGTATACCCAATGCATCTCCATTTCCTTCTGCAAATTTGTAAAGTGATAGGATCTTAGTTGCTTCGTTGACGGAGTTCATCGTTGCCGATTCTTTCTGGCCATCTGATCTTCAGCAACGAGCATAAGCAGTTGTTGATGAATATTTGTAGTTTCTTGGAAATCCCTTTCGTAACGCGCCAAGTCTCTGAGCCATATAGAAGCACTGAATAGACTGACTTAGTATTGAAAATCTGGATCTTGTTCTTTGTGCTGAGTGCAGAAGACCTCCACACTGGTTTCAGGTTGATGAACGCCTGTCTTGCTATCTTTCCGATCCTGGCTTTGACATCCTCGTCTGTGCCGCCACCTGTAGTTGAAACAGTGCTGCCTAGATAGGTGAAAAAGCCTAATTCCTTTGAGTTTCTCCCATTGATGGTGATTGGAGCTTGTTGATGTTGTTGTTGTTGTTGGTTGGGTGTCTTCATCACATCTGTCATAACTACGTTCCCTTGAAGTCCCGTATTCGCTGCCCTGCCTCTTCTGTCAATTTGTTGCATTTTGCCTGTACATCTACTAGTTTGCGTGACATTAGACACAAGTCATCGGCGAAATACAAACCTTCTTCTGGGGTCTTTTCCCCGGCCCAGCGCATACCCCTATTCTAGCTCCTCATAATTTGCTGCATGGTCCAGTCCACCACAGTCAGGAAGATCATCGATGATAGTAGACAGCCTTGTCTTTAGTTCAAAGGCATCACTGAGCTTCCCATTGTGAATCGCTTGACACGCAGCATCATATAGCATATAGTTAGTTGTTGAATGAGGTTGATAAAGGTTTGTGGCACTAAAACCATAGTGTTGAAGCAACTGCCTGTCAAATTACTTCTCGGTCGACGCTGTCAAAGGCCTTTTCAAAGTCGACGTAGAGAGTTGACTGACGTTCTATACACTGTTCTGCAATGATATGTAGCAATTCAATTTGATCCGCACATGATTTCTTCTCCCTGATCCCAGCCAGCGTGTTCCGAACGAAATTTTGAATCCAGCGCAACATTTAGTCTCTCCCGGATAATGCGGCCTAATATTTTGTTTGCTTCAGGCAGAGAGCAGCATGATACCTCGCCAGTTCTTGCAAAGACATAGGTCGCCCTTCTTTGGGAGTTTGAAAAGGTAGCCCTTCTGCCAATCAATTCCCAGAAACCTTTCCTTCCTTTCACTCATTCTGCAGTGTTGGTGTGAGCATGCGCGCTGTTGTCACTGCCTCTGTTTTCAGTGCTTCTGATGCGATTCCATCTCGTCCTGCTGCTTTCCAGCACTTCAGTAGCCTTATGGCATTCAGAACTTCGACTTTCGTCAGAGGACTCGTGTTCACTTGTAGTTCTGAGGCTGGGCTGCAGGTGGTATTTCTCGACGAAGTCCAGGTGGTGGTTGATTCGAGAGCTTTTTGAAGTGGTCAGCCCATCGTTTCATTTGATTCTCTTCCTTCGTAATTAGATTGCCTCCATCATCTTTTATTGGTTTCATCTGTGTTGATCTCTTCCCTCCCAGATAGGAACCTGGTTATTTCATACAATGTTTTCAGGTCTCTCCTAACTGCAGCCTGTTGTGCTTCACTTGCCAGTCTGTCGTAGAAGTGTCTTTTGTCCTTCCGTGCACTCGTCTTCACTTCTTCGTCCAGTGCAGTATTTTATACGTTGTAATCAATTCCTTTTCTCGTCGTTCCTCCTTGCACTCCTTTATCTTCTGCTTCACCATCCTCCTGTCCCTCGTCTATCAACTCCCATGTGTACATCGAGATCCATTTATTGTATCGACTTGAACTGTGGTCGTCTATCACCAGCCTCCTTTGAGGCTTTCAAATTGATTTGGAAAGTAGGTTCCTTGCACTAGATAGTCAAGTGAGTGGTGTGAACCTACATCTGCTCCTCTCTCCTCTTGATCTGATCTTGTATCCAGTAGACTCCTTCTCCACCTTCTTCACATTCACATGAAGTCGATCTGGTTTCTAGTGTGTCCTGGTGTCTGGTGAAATCCATGTCGCTGCCTTGTGAATATCCTTGTGTTCGTACACACTGCCTGACTCCAATCACCAAATCGTTGAATGCACAGAAGTATGCAAACAGTTCTCCATTCTCACTCATCATATCACCGAGTGCCTCGCAACCTATTGTGAGCTCCCTACCTGTGTTGTCCGCTCCCAGTTTGGTATTCATGTCACCTAACTCATTGGAATTTTCATGTCGCCAACTTGGGTGGAGTCTTGTCCATTACTGATTGCAGTTGTCTGTAGAATTCCCCCTCCTTCTCTTGATCTGCATTATTTGTAGGTGCGTAGCATAGCGTAGTAGTGTATGATTGTGACCTTCCATCCTTTTGAGTTGAATCTTGCTGTCATGATCCTGATCCTGCAGGAGGAGATTGGTCCCCACTGCATGAGACCGAGCCTACGATGCTCTTCAAGAGGACATCATGATAGCCACTCCATAACTCAGTGTGCTCTTGGTTGTCGTCTGGGTGACAATATCCGAGTAGATTATGTCAGTTTGGAGAGTCCACTTCCATTCCGTCTGCAGATCCCTCGCAGATTCCTAGCACTTCTATGCCATACCTTCTCATCTCAATTGCAATCTGGACAGCCTTGCCAGTTTCATGCATGGTGTGTGCAATCCATGTCCTCATGTTTACTTTTGCTTTCATCGAGAGATGCGAAGACACATTGGTCAATTGGCTTCTCGAAGGCTTTTACCAACTGGCATCATTTCGTCTTTTTACTTTGAAGTTTCTGTAGCGTTGGGGTTGGTTTTATGTTGTAGGGTTGGTAGCCCTATGTCCACTCTTTCCTCTTTACCCGGTCTTAGGACTGGCTAGTATCTAGTGAACTAGCTGTCCACGTGAGTTTTAATTTGTTAAGTGAATGACTGCAATTGTGTTTTTTATGCACGTCTCAACAAGACAACACACATCTATGGTTACAGATCTCTGATTTTCGGGAGACGATTCTGCTGTTCGGTTTTGCACATGATTTGGACGTTGAAAATACCGGCTAGAAGACTGTAATGGGGTTTAAGGAAACTTAAAATGTTTTTTTTGCTGATTTGTTTACTTTTAGTACTCGGAGGATAAGAAGTTGAGGCTGTAGTGTAAGGTCTAACTTGATAGCGGGATCAGGAATTAAACTCAAGTTAAGAGACGAAGATAAGAAGGGTAAGTTATGTTTGGATAGCCGTTGTTTGCTACTGGAAGTGTGAGGGAGACTGGTACTTTTTGGTTGCCCACACTGTGGAAGTTCATATCTTCTTGTGATACGCTAAAAACTGAATAACTAATTGTTCTGCGTTACCACAGAACTTAAAGGAATTTCTTGTTGAGGCCCGTTACACCAGCAGAATCATGAAATGCTGGTCATCTGAAGGAAATACCTTACTGCTATTACACCCATACAGCCTATAAAGTGGCTTCCCCTTCGGACATATACCATGACGTCAGCTGTTTTCACTAGGACTGTAATTGCTTTCTATCCAACAAACCTTTCTCGCAAGGTGAAATCTTAAGTAATGTCGGCCAAGCCTGTATAGCTCTTTGATTGATTGTGATAGGCGAATTTGACCATCAAGTCAAGGTAACAGCTGTTGACTAGGTGTTGATACAAATATGAAACTGATTGTTTAAATATTTCACGTTAATATGCAAGATATATTACAATCGGTGTTTACTCTTAATTTTAGGTAGAAACGTTTCTTAAACCTCTGTAACTACACTATCATTACTTGCTAACTAAAAGTAAGAACTTACCCAGCCACCACGTTGATATACCCAGTCCGCATACCATCGTGTAAAGAATGTGATAGTATATTCTTTCATTCGGCCTACATTAGCTCGACATCGACAAGTTTCTGTCACAACTGTATCATACAATGGATTTAATGGGTCTAAACTACATTGCGACAATTCACTTGATCCACGAAGAATATGGTGGCTGCAAATTTTATAAGAAAGTATACCGAAGAAAATGTTATTAAATATTATTATTCACTAACTAATTAAATACAATTACTCAGTTTATGTTTATTTCTCAAGTTGTATTTTCTTCACTGAAAGTTGTTTCTGATAAAACGCTAACTGCTGATTACTGAATGAACTGTAGACCTCACTATTAATTATCGGTCGGCTCCTTCACTAAAGGGTGAACTATGCACTTAATTACATGTAGTGGCCTTGGTTCCCAGACCTTTCTAGAAGAATATTCTCGTTTCACTAAGTTTCGTTAACCAAGGTCATATTTACGCGTATAGTCTCACATGATTTCCGCCGAAAATTCAAGGCTAGTTAGATGATTGTGAAAGCTTTCAAGCTTTTCCGAAGGGTCCAGACAATAATATCACACATCATAAAAGAAACAGATAGCACGTCATCACGTTTAATGGTGAGCGCTATGATGGCAACGAAAACCTCAAGAACGTTTAACAGATGGTTTTCTGTAGTTTGTTAAACATGAATAAAGGGTCTTACTGCTAGGTTGTGATGCTCTAAAAACAATTAAATTGGTGTGCAGTACTGAATGCAGTTGGTTTTACAGAAGTGCAAACATTAACATAAATCCATTATCTACAAAAGTTATGTAGATGTGAACCACTCAGAGAGGTATCATAAATAAATGACTTAGTAACTGTACAGAATAGTATACTAGATTTTTCTTCACCTGTTTTTAATCACTATAGGATTATAAAAATAATCCCTGCCATTCATAATCTGTGCATGTCACTCTTTCACAAGTTATCTGAACACTACTCTACACTCACTACTTTTGAAATAGTTGTTTCGAAATGAACCACCAGTTGTCTTACAGAAAACCGTAAACAACCACCAACTTGATGAAAACTATTAATTTGAATCACTGGAGTTTCGTCATCTAAATTCGCTTAACCAGGTGAATGTTAGCCTCGTTGTAATTAAATTAAATGTTGTAACAGTGCTCTTCTAAAACCAAATACACCTCAGTTATCTAAAAGGTTACTGTATCCCCAAAATATCAATTGTTGACTTATATCACACTTGACTCATACATCAAAATTCCTAGAGAATTCCAAAATCACTATCATATTGATGCACTCAGTAGAACGTTTGAAAATGTAGCATACAGTACCAGCTATTGAACAAAATTGAACAGATATACAAATCTAAAGAGTTTTCTTGAAGCAACGACTAAAGAAAAGAAACTTCATATTATTCACAAAATAATTGTGATCAACACTACATTGGACAAAGTGGTCGCTCACTTCTTCATTTACATGAACATCTATTGGCCATTAAACTTAACGACATTTCATCACTCATTTCAATGCACATGAATTCAATTTCGAAAATGTAGAAATCTTTGACAGAGGAAACACTAAGAATATCAAAAATTTGCTAGAAGCTTGGCTTTTGGTCAGTCAGCAATCAATAGATGTATTGACATAGACCGAATTTATTGACCAAAAAGAAAAGTGGTAAACAACAGAAAGGTGAGAGGTCAAAAAGAGGAACAATCAACAAGAAAATCTATACAGTCAATGACACAACAATCAAAAGAAACAACCAATCACAGACCACTTCGTCAAGGCAAGCGACTAAATCACTCACGGAGAGATATTGACAAGTCACTTCATATTGAAGTTAGTCCTGATGATGTCTAGATTGTCATTGAAAGCTTCATGACCAAACCAGCCAGCTAAGAGAACAAAATGCAACCAAAATTCCTTAACTTTTTTGTTGTCTTACGATCATAACCACTGAATACTAGACAAATCTGAGTGATTCTATCAAACGCTAGATAATATAAATACCGACATGAACAGTTTTGACAGAAAGTAAGTCAATTAACAAAAACCATTTCACTAAAGATTCGAATAGCTTACATTTACACACTTTGATTATTATTCTTTGTCTACTGTCAGGCATTTTCATGCTTATGACATACATATATTGTCTATTTTTCATCAAATGTATGTCAGTATTCCGACACAAACTTAGACATGAGCTGTTGTGATTCACATATGACCATCATGGTATTTCCATTTGAAGAAAAAACAGAGGAACATGAAAATGATTTCACGTAATAAGGCTTATATATATACGAAAATACTGTTGTCAAAAGTTACTCTGAAAACCACCTACACAAAGTAACGAAACAGTCTCCCGCTTACTTGATATTTCAACAGAATACCATAACTGTTTAATAACAAGCAAAGTAAAATATAATTTGAGTTATTTAACTGATTTCCTATGTTACATGTTAAATTGTTGCGCTGGATACCGTGAAGTTCGCTTTGCAAATTTCTCAAAAATAAAATGTACCCAGTCAGTGTTACACAACTCACCTTCCTGCTACATAAAGGTGGTGGTCATCGGTCTCATCACTGTCAGAATTAACAACTAATGACTGGTGTAGAACTGATGAACCTGAGGATGATACAGATCCCTTAATTGATTCCAGTTTTTGAAATGGTTACTTATTATATGTCTGACTACACACCTAGTCAGATAGTAAAGAATGGCAATCCGATGCCAACTTGGTTGTCTACCAAGTAATTTTAAAACATCAGCTTCAAAGCTTGGATAATTAGTATGGTTTCCCAATCGATTTAGTAGATTAGTTGTTATCACCAACTGTATAGTAGGTTCAAAGAGGATAAAAAGAAACGCAGTTACCTAAATGATGAGTTTTAGAATACTAGTTAAGTACAGTTGAAGAAAACAAATGAAACCAATTTATAAATAACTTAAGAAAAGATCTATGTGAGCAAATACTGCTAACTATTTAGCCTTGACTTTTGAGTAGAAAGTTGGGTTACATGTTCAGGTTTATGTTCTACTTAAGTCTTGAAGATGGTCATCACATAATGAAGCCATTTAAAAGGCCAATAGAAACCAGATAGTTCTGAACAACTGTTGCATTGGGTTCACCATTTACCAACATTCTGTTTATTTTACCAGCTACGGAGTCGAACACTAGGATTAAAAAATCCGCTTTAGCGAGAGAAGGCTATTATTCTTAATTTAAAATAATCTGAAAGTTACTGGCTCATTTGTCAAAGACTTCAACAGTGTGCAATACTGAAGCAATAAGAAAACTAGACAGCACTACCGTTCAATAAAAACAGGTTTTTCAAGATACTTCCAGTTTACGTTTCTCAACAGAAAATAGTTTAACTAATGGAACTGGAGACAAATGATCCGAGCGGTTCTGTGGTATTCACATCATGATAATCTTACAGAAGTAGGAATCTTTTGATATGATTTTGGCAGCTGTTAACCAATCACCACATAGTGCAGCTTATTTTGCTATTATTACCGAAGCATAATTTGCAAATTCTAGTTTTAAGTTGTGAACTTAGGAACATTTACTGAATATGTAAAATAACTTATTTCCTATTCATGTACACGTTACTACCGATGCAATTTGCGCCTTTCATAGTGCAAGATAGATATTTCAGTTTTGTAAAAAGACTTACCAGAAGCAGAATGGATAATATTTAAGAGTCCAAATCTAAATTATAAACACTTTTACCGGAGTTCATATACTCCTATCATTTTCTTTTCTGATAATATCTATGCAATTATGATCGATTCCCTACCTTGTCAGGAATAAATTGGTATTTATTCCACATAACGAAACAGATTAATAGTTACAATTTAAAAAACCTTCATTTGGAAACATGCATTGTTATAATATATGATTACACTTTTCTCACTTATGTTTTGATCGTGACAGGGGTGGTAAACAGCACAACTTCTAAGCAACAGTTTAGTATTGTGAGCGTTTTTCCACATAAAACCTATCCAGAAATAGAAGCAAGGTACAGTATTGCACTCTTTTTGTCTCTCATTCCGCCTTTATAACATATTCTCCTCTAAAGCACAATTTGTGTATGAAGGAGGAGTACTAACGATAGTTGTACAAGATAGTTGAACTCCGATTTTTTGAGAATTATAAAACAGTTAAGTAGATTGTAGGTGTGAATTACCTCCTTCAGATAAATATATCCGGTCTTTGTTCATGAATATATAAAATCTAGGCTGTTGCAGTACGATCTGACCAAAATATTCAAAACTGAAGTAGCAAAATAAATAGTGAATTCTTTTCTGTTAACAAGAGTGATATGAGGAAATCTACATCTACCATTTGAGGTTGTTAATTGTTTAAGTATTACTAGGAGAAAACCCAGCGTGACATCGATCATAAATCAACCAAAGTGATTAAATATTGTTTACACCTATGTTTACTTTCCACTTTGATTTAGTGATACAGCGTATGATAGCTAGAAGCATTAAACAGTTATGCTAGGCCTTACGTTATCTACACCTATCTATATATCTATCGGAAAGCCAGTCAACAAGAAGAGGTTTTAGCCAGTATGGACGATAACTAAAGCAAACAAGTCTGAAGGCAACTCTGGCAACTGCTACAATAACCCATGAGGTTCATACATTTGTACGATAGCTCACATTTCATCTGTAAAGAGGGAACTTAGTTGGCTATGTAAGTGCTTGCCAGATGGACCTCTAAAGTAGCTCACTGCAGCAGAATAAAAACTAATTCTTGAAATAACCGTGGTAAACAGTTCAAATCGTCATCATGATACGAGTGACTTCAAGGGAAACCCCAGCAAGTTAAGTTTTGGTATAACGGCTGAGAATTAGAATTTTCATAAAATAGAGAATCGCAATTGATTATTTCAACAGTTGTTGTCATGGCCTTTAAAGTTACCCAATGAATATTCACCTCTCAGCTAGAATCACCAGAGTAAAAAGTGAAATTTTATTTAACCGAAATTTGATAATAATTTAAAGTTGATTTTGAGTCATAAGAGGCATACACATAAATATCGATAGCTGTAATACAAACTAAACTTTCTAAAAATGCTGGTCATTTCAGTCATTTGTCGCTTGTGTGTATATATGTTAGAACATAGGTTGTACCGTTTATGAATCAACTTATGCAAGATACGCATAATAAACTTATCGATCAAACTATTTTGGTAGTATCTCGTTGTTACCCATTCACACTAATTCTAAAACTTGGAATACAGTGATAAATTAAGAATTCATCTGGATTTTTGAATAGACACTTGATATAGTCAGATTCTGACCATTAATAAAGCATTTATCAATTCAATGGGGAAATTACGAAAACATATTTGGTGTGCCTACAACAAGAGTAACCTCGCCTAATTAACTAGTTCACTAGATACTAGCCAGTCCTAAGACCGGGTAAAGAGGAAAGAGTGGACATAGGGCTACCAACCCTACAACATAAAACCAACCCCAACGCTACAGAAACTTCAAAGTAAAAAGACGAAATGATGCCAGTTGGTAAAAGCCTTCGAGAAGCCAATTGACCAATGTGTCTTCGCATCTCTCGATGAAAGCAAAAGTAAACATGAGGACATGGATTGCACACACCATGCATGAAACTGGCAAGGCTGTCCAGATTGCAATTGAGATGAGAAGGTATGGCATAGAAGTGCTAGGAATCTGCGAGGGATCTGCAGACGGAATGGAAGTGGACTCTCCAAACTGACATAATCTACTCGGATATTGTCACCCAGACGACAACCAAGAGCACACTGAGTTATGGAGTGGCTATCATGATGTCCTCTTGAAGAGCATCGTAGGCTCGGTCTCATGCAGTGGGGACCAATCTCCTCCTGCAGGATCAGGATCATGACAGCAAGATTCAACTCAAAAGGATGGAAAGTCACAATCATACACTACTACGCTATGCTACGCACCTACAAATAATGCAGATCAAGAGAAGGAGGGGGAATTCTACAGACAACTGCAATCAGTAATGGACAAGACTCCACCCAAGTTGGCGACATGAAAATTCCAATGAGTTAGGTGACATGAATACCAAACTGGGAGCGGACAACACAGGTAGGGAGCTCACCATGGGTTGAGAGACACTCGGTGATATGATGAGTGAGAATGGAGAACTGTTTGCATACTTCTGTGCATTCAACGATTTGGTGATTGGAGTCAGGCAGTGTGTACGAACACAAGGATATTCACAAGGCAGCGACATGGATTTCACCAGACACCAGGACACACTAGAAACCAGATCGACTTCATGTGAATGTGAAGAAGGTGGAGAAGGAGTCTACTGGATACAAGATCAGATCAAGAGGAGAGAGGAGCAGATGTAGGTTCACACCACTCACTTGACTATCTAGTGCAAGGAACCTACTTTCCAAATCAATTTGAAAGCCTCAAAGGAGGCTGGTGATAGACGATCACAGTTCAAGTCCAACAACCACCCAGAACAAAAACTGAACTGAAGGACGAAACTACAAAGGAGATTTTCACGTCAGTCAGCCATCAGGATAAAATGGGAGACATTAAGCAACATCTCTGAAGGAAGCTGTGTGGCTGAACACTGGAACTCTTTGGAAGCTATGTGGAAAGAAACCTGCATAGCCGTGTTAGGGAGGAAGAAGAAGAAGAGGCGAGACAAGGTATAGATCTCGGCGTACACATGGGAGTTGGAAGAGGAGGGAGAGAAAGATGGTGAGGTAGAAGATGAACCGTTGCACTGAAGTGCAGGAATGAATAAAGAGGAGAGGATTTGATTACAATATAAAAAACACGGGAAATCAACAACATTAAGCAGTCATTGAGACACACCTAATGGAGTGCCGCCAGCAATTCAGCCACAGAACTATCATTGAACACAAACTCTCCGAGAACATCAGGGGTGAAATCGGAACGCCGTAAATTTACTGAGGTCTGGGAAAGCAGCAGGACGAGATGCAATCCCACCAGAAGCACTGAAAACAGAGGCAGTGACAACAGCGCGCATGCTCACACCAACACTGCAGAATGAGTGAAAGGAAGGAAAGGTTTCTGGGAATTGATTGGCAGAAGGGCTACCTTTTCAAACTCCCAAAGAAGGGCGACCTATGTCTTTGCAAGAACTGGCGAGGTATCATGCTGCTCTCTGCCTGAAGCAAACAAAATATTAAGCCGCATTATCCTGGAGAGACTAAATGATGCGCTGGATTCAAAATTTCGTTCGGAACACGCTGGCTGGGATCAGGGAGAAGATATCATGTGCGGATCAAATTGAATTGCTACACATCATCGTAGAACAGAGTATAGAACGTCAGTCAACTCTCTACGTCGACTTTGAAAAGGCCTTTGACAGCGTCGACCGAGAAGTAATTTGACAGGCAGTTGCTTCAACACTATGGTTTTAGTGCCACAAACCTTTATCAACCTCATTCAACAACTAACTATGTGCTATATGATGCTGCATGTCAAGCGATTCACAATGGGAAGTTCAGTGACGCCTTTGAAGTGAAGACAGGAGTAAGACAAGGCTGATGCCTACAATCACCGATGATCTCCCTGATTGTGGTGGACTGGATTGTGCAATGAACTGTGAGAAGGGAGGAGCAGGGCATACGCTGGCTGGACCGATGAAGAGATCGTAGAGGATTTGTATTTCGCCGATGATGATTTATGTTTAATGTCTAGTCGCACAAACTCGAATATCTACTGGAAAAACAACAAGTTGACAGAAGAGGCAACGAGGATGGAATTTCAAGTGGATGCAGAGAAGACAGAGGTGATGAAGATACCCAACCAACATCAACAACAATAACAAC